AACTCATGTCCAAAGATACTTCATTTAAAATAATTGAGGGCTAATGGGCCTCTCCCCTTCCTTTTTTAATTATACTAAATGCATAAGGGTAGCATATATAATTCTACATTATATATGCTATCCTATTTCAATTGTTTTCATTTATCTTTTATTGCTAACTTTGGAGGATCCAAAACATCTCAGCAGGAGGGTTTTTTTTTCCCCCCATGAAATAAGTAGTAATTATGTACAGGCTATTAACAGGGTGTGTGTTTTCACTTAAGTTGTATTTTATTAAATAGATGGATCTCCCCAAAAGTGACCTGAGAACTTTATAAAGGATATCTTGAATGTAAAGGGATGATAGGGTAGTTTGGAGTTGTTTTCTTTAAGAAATATGACCATTGCTGAAGTTAATCACTCAAACAGAACCTAAAGATTTTGAAAGCGACACCTGAAAGGGAACAGACTCTTATGATGCTGAATGTGATGGCATTGTCGGGCCATGGAGTAAAGCAGACAGACCTTGTGTTTGGACAGATGACCTGAGCTAGGGGCCTGATCCTGCACCCACCACCTGTGCAAGTCTGGGCAGTCCCTTCACGCTTCTGAGCCTTCCCTTGGCTCTTCTATAAACTGGAGTAAACGAGGCTTTTGCATCTTCCTGGATAAGAGATAGAAAATGTCTCGCCCAGACAGGCCAGAGATTTGATAAATGGGTGTTGTTGGCTGCCCCCTTGTGGGGGTAGAAAAACATTCTGCTGGCTGAGAGGCAGATATGAATGTTCTGGAGAGTGACAATCCTGAGTGTGCCATAAAGTCAGGAAGAGAGAGACCAGGCAGGGAAGAACAAGTTAGGGAAGAGGCATGAACTCTATTTCCAGAACCAGAGGAGAGGACGCCTGGGAAGCCTTGGCACAAAAAAGCCAATGCTGAGCCAAACAGCCCAAAGACTTCAGAGTGGGCTTCTGCTGCAACAAAAACCTTTGGACCGTTTTGAACCTCTCCTGTGAGGCACCAATATGTAGCAGTATCTTCATGGCCCCGATGCTGATATAATTCACCCCACATAAAGTATGAACATGCTTGAGGTGACTAGCAGCTTGACAAACTGGAGTCGATCAAACTGACCTTGAGAAATACAAGGAGGTGGTATTCAGTGATCTGCACAGAGGGAGATAAGGAAGGGCCTGAAGGAAACCAGGCCATCAAAGAGCAAGGATAGGAACGTGGTGGATAACACGGAGACCAGGCTCAACACGGGCTACCAAAGCAGGGTTTTGGAAACTGACACATTGCCTACATTATATTAATTGTGCAATGATATGAAACAGTAAGGATGGCTTAGGGTGCTGAATTTGAGTGTCCATAATCATAACCTAAGGGAAATGAGGAACACGGTATAATGGGGAAAGTGGAGAGCAGAAAATTGACGAGAATTTATGCAAAGGTCGAGTTCAGCCTATAAAATCTAAGATAGCGGGGCCAGATAGTGGCCACAACAGTAATGCAAGGCTCTGCAAGGGTTCCAGGCTCACACCCAGAGACCTTCCTGAACACACCAGTCACACAGGTGCCCACAATCTGGGGCTGGTGGAAATGGGCGCAGATCATGGTGTGAAGACCCTGTTGGGAGTATCTCTCTTTCATCCATGCTCATAAAAGAAAAGAATAAAAAAAGCTTTAAAAAAAATTCCTCTTTTTAAAAAAATCTAATATGGGCCAACAGTTGGCATAGAGGTTAAGGTGCTGGATCCCACAAGGTTGACTTCACAGTTCAAATCCCAATCTGGTGGCTTAAAAATCATGCTGGGCATATGAATGTGCATGCCCAAAATCCTGACAGGAGAATGGATGAAAAAGGGATTGTGGCATAGCCGGTCCCTTTCGGCAGTGCTTTCTGTCTGTCCTTTTCTGTCTCTCTCCATAGAGCACATGGAGAGAGAAATAAATAAATAAATAAATAAATAAAAATTAAAAAGTCTAATACAAACATTTGAGTGAGCATGTCACTATCCATTTTGATTTTGTTCAAGTTTCCTTTCCCCTATTCCTGACAGTGAGTTTTTTTGTTTTCTGGGTGGGGGTTTTTTGGTAACTCTTTCTCTGGAATCACTGGTCTACCTCAAGATTCTGTAGAGTAGGATAAAACAGTAAGTTCTGTCATCTGAAACTGACTCATAGGGGCTCAGTTATAAAATATAAGTTTAAAATATAAGAGAGAGAGACTGAACGACAGGTCTTTGCCACCAACCCATGCAATTTTCTCCATTAGACATTAGAAGACTGAGGCACTAAACAGATGAAGAGACTTGTTCAAGGTCCTACAATTAATTTGGTCAAGTTCAGGAATTTCTGCCTCTATGCATCAAACAACCGTTATAAGAGGATTAATGCAAATAAATTTGTTTTCAGATGCATTGTTTTCTAAGAAGAGAAGAGAATAAACTTAAATATACAAAAATAATAGCTTACCATTATCTTCCAAGACTGGTTTCAATATTAATATCATTGTGTAATAGGGTTACTACTTTATCACTAGGGCAGCTGAACTCTTACTTCTCTAGCTTAAAATATAACATTAAATGGACAAAGTTTTACAAATTCGACAGTTTCTGCTGCTAGACAACAGGGACTCTTCTGTGCTGTCAGTGAGAATGGAAATTGGAGCCATAACAGGAAACTGTTACAAAAATTTTAAATAAATATACCCTCTGAATTAGGGAGCCCACTGCTGAGACTGTTCTATGGATGTACTCATAGATGCATATTTTCAAGAATGTTCACTGTGGCACAGTTTAAATCCAACTTTAGATGAAATTGCAAGAGACTGATGTAAGCAAGAGAGACTGAACTGCCAAAAAAAAATTTCTTGGAAGAGCAAAACAATGTAATTACATTTTTTAAAATATTTGTCTATGCAAACATGCATCATGACTTTTCTGACCACCCAATGCATGTCCACCAAAACAGAGGCTGGTTAAGTAACTCAGCATAAGCAAAGATGGAATATTACATAGCAATTAAAAACAAAGAAGTAGATCAGTATGCACTGATAAGAAAAGATCTTACATAGCTTTTAAGTAAAAAGTCTAAGTACAGAACAGTATGTATGTGTGTTTTGATATACACAACCTTTTTCTGGAAAAATACACCAGAAACAGTTAATGATGTTTACATTCCAAAAGAAGAACCAGGAAGGACTTTTGCTTTTTATATTTTACATTCTTATTCTGCATGAAGATTCAAATCATGCATATATTACCATTTATTCTCTTCTTTATATGGCTCTAAAAATCACCACTATCCTATCTAATAGAGGTTATTACTTTTTAACCTTAAAGTCAGAGAGATTCTAAGGTAATCAGAAAAACTGGGGCCCTATCGTTTTGTTTGTTGTTGATGTTGTTGTTGTTGTTTTTTATTTAACCCAAAATAATGAATGCAGTGAGCTCAAGGCAAGGGTTCATTTGAAATACACTGAATTTGAAGTATTTCATTGGAAATATAATGAAATATCAGAATATAAACCTTCCCCTCCTTTACTTTCATAACTTTTCTCTGGAGAACGCAAGAAATTTTCTTAAGCAAACTATGGTTTATTTCTTTAGATGGCAAGGATTCTTTCACAGTGTGCAGAAAAATGAAGACAGCCTTGGCAAGGATTAACCAGCCTTTTATGCTATGTTCCCAGCCAGGCTGGTCTGTCCTGTCCCCCTTCTCCCTCTCTCCTTCTTCCTCCCCCTCCTAGGCCCACTGCAGGTGCTCTTCTCCTATCCCACTTGACCCTTTTCTACCCTCCTTCCAGTCTTTCTTGAAATCTCATGTCAATCACGTCTTCCTTGGAGACTCCTGATGTCTCCCAACATAATCACCTTTCATAGTACCATCCACTATCATTTCAAGCTTACACTGACATCTGTTTCCTAGTTAACTCTGTCTTCCACAGCAGGCCGCAAGCTCTTAAAAGACCATGGCAATGTCTGTTTGTCCTAAATGGCAGATCCCAGCACCTACCAGTGGTGCACTTCATTAACATGTATATGAACAATGAGAGAATAAATGCAGTCTGTATTCCATGCTGAAGTCCAGTGATCATATTAAAAATCAATCAGATCATGTCACTCTCCAGGTCTGACCCTCTAATGTCTTCCTCACCACTGTCTCTGAGACCCTCTAAGACACCCTATGCCACTCACCTCTTCTACCTCTTCCTCTTCAGTTTGACTCTAGCCACGTGAGCTTCCCTGGTGATCACTGAATTCTCCAGGTCTCTGTGCCTTTGCACAAGCTATTCCTACTCCCAAGGAATTGTTTCCTGAGTTTATCTCTTTACTTCATTTAGGTCTCAGATCAAATTCTGCAACTGGGGTGTCTCTGCCGCATCTGAAATAGCTCAGGCTGTCATTCTCCAGCACTTTATCTGCTCTGTTGTCCTTATTTGTATTTACAACAGTCTGATATTATGTCAAATATTAAACCTGATTAGCCCTTGTGGCCTATTTCTCATATGCAAAAGGTATGCTCATGGGGAGAGGAATTTTGTTTTGTTTGATACTATTCCCAAGAGCATTGTAAGCCCTCAATAAATGCCTATGCAGAGACATCTCAACACCAATGTCTAGAGAGAAAGCTGAAAAACCAGAGATAAGGTTAAAGCCTACTGCTTTCTAATCCTAAAACCCATAAGCATAATAACTTCCTAGTTCTGTTTATGGGCACTAACCCTGTTTTATTTTTCTCAATATATGAGTTAAATGAGTAAACATTCTCAAACTTCTGACTAATAAAGTAGATGACATTGACAATGAACTATAAACAAATATATGGATGATAACAGCCTTGTTCATTCTTTCATTCATAGAGTAAACAAAGTGAAGACAGCTTTAAAAATAAAGACATTATTCCAAGAGCAATAAACTTTACACACTGCACTAAAACCTCCATGTGTTTAGCCCAGCATGTGTATTTGACAATTTGCGGGTGGAAAAAAAAAAAAAAGAAAATAGTCAAGTGCTTACCCATTCTTCTAAGATGCGTGACACTGCTTCGCTGGCTCTTGCCATATTCCTACAGGCCAAGATCACATGTGCACCGTGGAGAGCAAAAGACTTGGCAGTTTCGAACCCTTTGATTGAAAGGAAAGTCAACATTAGAAAACACAGCACCAGCACCCTGAGTAATGCCGAATGCCCTTACTGAGAAACACTTGATTTATCCAAGTAGCTCTCAGCCAGAGGTAATTTTGCCCTTCATGGGACAGGTATGAGTACCAAGAGACATTTTCAGTGGCCACAGTTATGGGGTGGAGTATAATGGCACCTGGAGAGTAAAGGTCAGAGAAGCTATGAAAGGTCTCACAATGCACCAGACAGCCCACCCCAACAAAGAACCATGTGGCCCAGAATGCCAACTGTGTGAGGTTGAGCGAACATGCCCAAGGGACACAATGATTTCAAAGATAAAGGCCAAAAGCCATAGAAGAGCCCATGGTACAGCTAGTCATTTAACTATCAATGAAGACCAGACCCTGTGCTAAAGGTAAAGACATCGTAGTCTGTTCTGTGAGGGACTCAGTTCCACTTCAACCAGTGGTAGCCTAGGTTTCTTGGACCCATGATCCTCCTGAAAACAATCATAAAAGCTGACAAAATAATACATGCACACGTGCACACACACACATACAGAAACCATTTAAAAGTATCAGAAAGATGCTGTGATTGAGGATTCTTTTGGTCAACATCTAGAAAACTGGAAAGTCCAGCACTTGTCAGGCTTTTTATTGTTTTACTCAAGGCTTTGAAAAAGTAGTGGTTGAGAGCATGAGAGGATGGGATGGGCTTATGGTAGTCTCCCAGTGGAAGAAAGACACAAATTTGAGCTAAGGGCCCACCAAGGAAGAAGAGCCTGGTAAATACAATGATGCATTTGGTTGGGATTCTAAACAGCTACATCCCTGACAGTAAGAACCAGAGACATCCCAGTCTTCACAAGACTGCAAGCTCACTGACAAGCCATTTCAATTCCCGATTAATGTGATCTGTCCCTATCTATCTAACTGCCAGAAACAAAAGAAAATATTCTCTGGAAGACAACACAGAGAGTCATAAATTACTACTACAATTATTCTAAATTCTCAGATAAAATTTCTGGCATGCCAAAAACAAATATAAACATGCAAAAAGACAAGACTTCATCAAAAGCCAGGGAGAAGAAAAATTGAAACAAATGCACAGGAAATCTATATGATGAATGTATCAGAAACAGTGATTAAAGTTACTATGATTAATACATTCAAGAAACTAAAAGACAAGATAGAAAAATATGACAGGAAACTGGGAACAATAAAAAATAATCCAATAGATATTCTGAAACTTAAAAGAAGAAATTATGAATTCAATGTATAGGTTTAACAGAAGATAGCCAAAAAGAAGATTTAGGGAACAAGAAAACAGGTAAAAAAAAAATATCCAAAATGAAGTATAAAAGTTTAAAAAGAAGATAGGAAAATGAGCTGAACAAAAATCTCTCTAAGGAAGACACGAACAGCCAAAAAGCATATGAGGAAATACTCATCATCCCTCATCATAAAAGAGATGCAGATAAAAACCACAATGAGATACCACCTAACCCCTGTTGGAATGGCAAAGATTAAAAATATAAAAATTAAATAAGTGTTGGTGGGAATGTGGTGAAAAGGGAACCCTCCCACACTGTTGGTGGGAATATAAACTGGTTCAGCCACTGTGGAGAACAATATGGAGGGTCCTCAAAGATCTACAAATAGAACTGCCATTTTATCCAGCAATCTCACTTCTGCATATCTACCCAAAGGACAGGAGAATGCTCAGTCAGAAAAGCGCTTGCACATCAATGTTTATTGCAGCATTATTCACGATCACCAAGACATGGAACCAACCCAAATGTCCACAAACAGATGAATAGATTGAAAAAGTGTGGCACATATATATTCTATGGAATACTACTCAGCAATTAAAAAAAAAAGACCCTGGAATATGATAGAAAGTAGTCAGATATGGAGGATCTATTGCTAAGTGAAGAAAGCCAAGATAAAAAAGAAAGATATTGTATGTATCCACTTAATATATACCGACTATCCACACTCTATGGTAGAGATTGAAATATTGGAGGGCATAAAAGCAGTGAAAATAGTTAATGATGATAAGACAGTGTGGAACATGGCAAGAAAAGAGAAGAGTAGAGAAAGATAGTAAGAGAACAAATAGAGAGGCATAACATTAGTGGGACACAGATATGGTTTATTACCTGTTGATGATGACATGTATGGTTTTCCCAACTGGACTGGTCTGAGAAGTATTTCATGTTGGGTAAAGTCTTTTTACAAGCAAAATGATAGACAGTGATTGACTGTTTAAAAAATAATTGGAATAATGATAATAATAATCGGGAAAAAATGAAAAGTTATTGGATGATGAAGATGGGGATTTTTTTTTTAAATGTCTCTATATTGACTGATATGCATGGTATTCCTTCTGGGAAAGGAAATGTAATACACTGTAAAGTTAGTTATATGTGATTCAATGTAATATAAACAAGATTATTAAAATAAATAAATAAATTTTCAAAAATTTAAAGATAGATTAATACACCAAAGAACAAAAATAAGATGTGAAACACAATTCTTAAACTCTTCAATATACATATAATTACACTGAATATAAATGGGCTAAAACTTATGGGACCAGCAGTTAGAGTAATGGCTGTGTTGCTGGACATAGTCGACCATGGTTCGAGTCCCGGACCTGGTGGCTTAAACTCACAGCGGGCGCGTGTGCGTGCATGACCAAGATCCCAAGAGGAGAATGGAAAAGAAGGGACTGCGGCATGGCCATCCCCCCGGGGTGTGATTTCTTGCTTTCTATCTCTCTGTCTTTCTCTGTCTTTCTGGCGAGTGTACACGCCCTATAGCGAAAGTCTCTCCAAAAAAAAAAGAAAAAGAAAAAAATGGGCTAAAACTTACAACTTGCCAAGATTTTCAAACTAGATAAAGCACATATACGCAATATACTCCTTATAAAGTAATGTGTACTTTGTTTGTATACTTATACTTAAACATGAGTTAAAAACTTGAAAGTAAAAGAGTTGAAAAGATATATTATGTTACATGAGCCAAAATAAATCTGGTATAGCTATACCAATTTCAGAAAAAGGAGACTTTAAACCAAGAAGTATTATAAGAGACAAAACTGGTATTTTGTCATGGCAAACTTAAGTCTACCAGGAATATATGTCAACTCTAAACTTAAAGGTACCTTATAAAAGACTTTCATGCATATATGTGTGTGGGAGGGTGGGTAGGTTAGTTACATCTAAAACTGTCAGAAATAGGAGGATGAATAGATGAATTCAGTCATAATGGGAGATTTTAATAGATCCCTCCCTCTCTCTCTCACAGTAACCAATAAAATAAGCAGACTAATTAAAAATATATAGAAGATTTGAGCCACATAATCAATAAATCTGAAATACTTCAATATTCTAAACATTGAATACAATAGCAAAATGTACATTCAAGTACTTAAGTAATATTCACTCAAATTGACTATGTACAGATCCAAAAGCAAGTCTCATCAAACTTCAAGAGATCAAAATTGAAAAGTATGCTCTTTAACCATAATAGAATTAGAAATCAATAGCAAAATCACAAAAAAATTATCCCCTCTGTAAATATTACTTTTTATAAGTTTATTTATCTATTTTTTCCATGAGAGAGACAGAGAAAGGGAGAGCAAGGTGACTTAATAGAGTTCTTTGCCATGATCCACCCCTAGCCTCAGCCAGCCAGTCAGTCTTTTGCGGGGGGGGGGGGGGGGGGAACTAAAAATAATTTGTAATATTTCTTTATTTAATTCCATTTCTTCTTCTTGTTATTATTTTTTAATTTGACCAGAGAAAGAGAGAGAAAAGTAAAGCAAGAAAGCAAGCCGCCAAGTCAGGGACTCAAACCATGGTCAGCCATGTGGGAATCCAGTACCTTTAACCACTACGCCACCTGCCGGGCCCAAAACAAAATTAGTAAAGAGTTGGCAGGACTGATAGAAAGACAGAATACACATGATCACTATCATGGATGAATAAAGGACATTACTATGTGACACCAAAGGACGGGCAACAAAAACAAAAGTATACAAATTGGATTATATCATACCAAAAACTTCTATACATCCAAGAACACAATTAACAAAATGAAAAGGCAACCTACCAAATGGGAGAAAATGTTTGTAAATTATATATCTGATGAAAGATTAATATTTAAAATTTATGTGGTCTTCAGAAAGTTCACAGAGAATAAGTACTATAATAACTATGCATCAATTTCAAAATTTCTTTGTACCAATATAAACTCATGGTTTAATTTAATATTTCCAAAAACTTTTTGAAGTCCCCTCATATGATAGAACACACCCACTTTTGGGTAAATATCTGAAGAATTGAAGTCAGGATTTCCAATGAAATCTGTACTCTTATGTCCATGTAGCATCATGTACAATAGCCAAAACTTGAAAGCAATCTAAATGTCCACTGACAGATAAATAAAGAAAATGTGGTATATACATATAAAGTGAAAGAAGGAGATCCTTCTTTTGTAACACTGTGGATGAACCTGGAAGGCATTATACTAAGTGAAATAAACCATGAGACCACGTATAGAAGGAATCTAAAATAGTCAAACTCATAGAAACAGAGAGTAGAAGGGTGGTTGCCAGAAGTAGGGAGAAGGAAAGAAGCAAGGCCCATTAGTCAAGGAGTACAAAGTTTTAGGTATACAAAATGAAAGTCCTAGAGCTCTACTACTATACAACATCGTGTCCATAGTTGATAACTGTACTGAATATGTAAAAACTTGCTAAGAGGGTTGATCTTATATTAAATGTTTATATCACACACACACACACACACACACACACACACACACACACAAAGAGAGAGAGAGACAAATAATTACAATGATAAATAAAGAGAGCAGGAGGAAACTTTTGGAGGTGATGGCTATGTTTACGTAATAAATTATGGTGATGGTTTCACAGGTATATACTTATCTCAAAAGTCATCAAATTGTATACATAAAATATGTAAGTTTTTTAT